TGCACTTTGAATATTCGTCATCTGTGTACCACACCCAGATTCTTCTAAACCACTCATTCACAAGCCACCTGCTTGTATAAATCTATGCGCCTTTATCTTTTATTTTTATTTCCATGAATGACTCTGTTCACAGTGAAGTCATTCTTTCTGTAGCTTGAGTCAGCATGAACCAACCAAGGATAGTTTATGTAGATGCAATGCAATCCCAATCAAAATAACAGAAGGGTTAATTTTTTAGTGGAAATTGATAGGTTTATTCTAAAATTTACAAGGAAAAGCAAAGGACTAGAATAATTAAAACAATTTTTAAAGAGAAAAATTAGGAGGATTTCAAGACTTAGAATCAAGCCACAATGATCAGGAGAACATGCTATTGGTAAAATCAGATGAACAGAATAGAGAAACCAGAACTAGCCCCACATATTTATGTTTGGTTAATTTTTGAAGCATGCAAAAGTAATTCAATGAAAAAATTGTCTATTTAACAAATGGTACTAGGAAAATTTGACATACAAATGTAAAGAAAAAGCCTTTTATATTTGGCATCATATATAAAAATTAACTGAAAATGGATTGTAGAAGTAAATAAAAACATCTAAGAGTATAAAATTTTTAGAAGAAAATATAAAAGAAAATCTTTGTGATTTTTAGTTAGATATAGGTTTCTTAGTTTTGACACCAAAAGCAAGATCTATAAAATAAAAATTGGTAATTTGGGCTTCATTAAAAATTAAAAACTTATATCTTTGAGAAGCCCATGTGCTCAATTGTGTCCCACCTCCTACTCACTCACTACTCATATGTTGGTGCCCTAACCCCCAATATGATGGTATTTGGAGATGAAGCTTTGGAAAGTAATCAGGTTTAGATGAGGTATTGAGGCTGGGGTCCTAATGATGAGATTAGTGCTTTTACAAGAAGGGATCACAGAGCTTGCTCACCCTATCTCTGCCCAGTGAGGACACAGTGAGAAGGCAGTCATCTGCAAGCCTGGGTGAAGCCCCTCAGTAGTAATCAAATTTGATCGCGAACTTGAACTTCCCAGCCCTTGCCTATGTTATTTTGTTATTAGCCTCAGTTGACCAAGATTCTATTTAAGGAAATGAAGTCATGCTGTAGTCTGGGAGAATATATTGACTTTGAGTATACAATATGTATTGTAAAGAATCCTCAACACTCAATAATAAACCAAATAACTTGATAAATAACTGGGCAAGGCTCTGCACTGGTAGCTCAGCGGCTAGGGAGTCAACCACATACACAAGAGCTGGCGGGTTTGAATCCATTCAAACAACAAAGACAACTACAACCAAAAAATAGCCGGGCATTGTGGTGGGTGCCTGTAGTCCCAACTACTTGGGAGGCTGAGGCAAGAGAATTGCTTAAGCCCAAGAGTTTGAGGTTGCTATGAGCTGTAATGCCACAGCACTCTACCCAGGGAGACATAGTGAGACTCTGTCTCAAAAACAAAAAACAAAACAAAACAAAAAACTGGGCAAAACCAGACATTTTACAAAAAAGAAATATGATGGCAAATAAACACATGAAAACACAGTTATTAGAAATGTGAACTTTTTTTTTTTGAGACAGAGTCTCATTATGTCACCCTGGGTAGAGTGCTGTGATGTCACAGCTCATAGCAACCTCAAACTCTTGGGCTCAAGCAATTCTCTTGCCTCAGCCTCCCAAATAGCTGGGACTACAGGCGCCCACCACAACACCCGGCTATTTTTTGGTTGTAGTTGTCACTGTTGTCTGGCAGGTCTGGGCTGGATTCAAACCCGCCAGCCCTGGTATATCTGGCTGGCGCCCTGGCTGCTGAACTACAGGCACCAAGCCAGAAACGTGAAACTTTAAACCACACTGACATACCTCTGCACATCCATTAAAATGAATAAGAAAAAAAATTGCAAAATCTGAGCAATATTAAGTGCTGGCGAGGATATGCAGTTAGAACCCTCATACATTATTAGTGGGACTGCAGCCACCTTGTCCTTTTTTTTTTTGCAGCTTTTCGCAGGGGCTGGGTTTGAACCCACTACCTCCAGCATATGGGGCCGGCACCCTACTCCTTTGAGCCACAGGCATTGCCCTCTTTCTTTCTCTCCCTCCCTTCCTTCCTTTTCTTTACAGATCATATTGGGTAGTTCAAAGAGATGCAACTTCTTGAAAAACAATTTGCTGTTTTATGTAATGTTAAGCATGCACTTATCATACATCCTAGTGATCCTATTCCTGGATATTGACTCAAGAGAAAGGAATGTTTATGTTCACACAAAGACGGGTATGCAATCATCAAAAACTGGAAATAATCCAAATGTTCTTTAACTGGTAGATGGATAAATCAGCTATGGTACATTCACATGATGGAAAACTTCAGCGTAAAGGAACACACTTCTGACACACTCGGCAACATGGATGAATCTCAGTTGTATTATGCTAAGTGAATGACATAACATATAAAAGGCCACATGCTGTACGATTCCATTTATGTGACATTCTAGACCAGCGGTTCTCAACCTTCCTAATGCTGGGGCTCTTTAATACAGTTCCTGTGGGTCTTGACCCACAGGTTGAGAACTACTATTAGAGTAAACAAAACTCTGGATACAGAAAACAGGTCAGTGTTTTCCTAGAGTTGAGAGTGTCAGGAAGGGTTAACCACATGTTGATACAGGGGATTTTTTGCAGGGTGATGGAATGGTTTTATATCTTGATTTTGATGGTGGTAACATGTCTATGTACTTGTTAAAACTCATAAAACTGTACACTAGAAAGAGTGACTTTTACTACCTGTATATTAATACTCCACAAATCTGACTTTTATAAAAAGCCAAAAAGGAAAAATGCAACGTGGTCTTGGAGAAACAAAAAGTCAAGATGCAATTCAGCATTGGAAAGAAAAGATGAAGAAAATGCGGAGCTAAGCTTCTTTGCTTACTATGAAAAGGTGCCATCCTGTGGGTGGAGCTGAGTCTCTGAAGATTCTGTTTCTGGGGAGGCTCCCCTTACTCAGGCTGGGGCCAGAGGAAGCCAGTTCTTGCTCTCACTGGGCCCTAGAGGACTTGGGCACCCTGGGCTCTGGGGTGGTGGTGTTCCTGGTCACAGGCATTCCTGTTAAGGCCTTCCTAAAACATAGTAGGAAATTGGGAAATAAGAGGGATGGGAAGATGAGGGGGACAACTGATGCCATTCAGAAGTCACATTTAATGGCCAGTTTGACGTTGCCATTTCACTATCCCAAAGCTTTCAATAAAGTCTGATTATCTGTTACAGCCTTGTCTTAAGTGAACTTTGGAGAGTTTCAGTTGCCTAAGTCCAGGCTTCCATAAAGGCATGATGAAGGAGGAGCATCTGCCCAGAGAAGCACTGAGGTCAAGGACGGTGTCTTTGATCACAGTATCCCTGGTACCCAGAAAGGTGACTAATACATAAGTGCTCTAGAAATGAATACTTGAATGAAAGCTGCCGTCTTCTATACTAGTGTAACAAAATGCAGATGTCCCCCACTTAGGACGGCCAACAATGAGTTTTCAACTTTAAGATGGTATAAAAGCAACACATATTCACTAAGCCCCCAACTTATGATGGGATTATGGTATGTAACCCTATTGTAATCTGAAGAACATCCATAATTTCCATGTATTTAAACAAAAGTAAAAATGATTTTTCCTGAAAACTTTATACTCTTTGTAAAAGGTGGCATGGCTCTCATGAAGTACCAATGGTTATAAAAGAAAGTTACCAAGCTGATGTTTATGAATCGTATAAGGAAAGAGCAAATCAGTTCACTCAGTTATGACTTACTCTAATTAGAGAATCCACGTTTCCAATTCCCCCTGCAGGAAACAGTGGAACAGGGTATACCAGAGGTCACTGCAGCATTAGCACCTGAGAGAGCTTCTTGTGGCTACATCCTCTCCACAGTTGATCCAGATTTCCAGCTGAAGGATGGGTCCCCTGGCATAGGGGTCCCTCCCCTGCCCAATTCAAGGAGTCTACCAGGAGTGCGCCCTCCTCCTCCTTCCCATTTGCACAAAATATCTCACTTTCAACCTGGAGGATGCTGGAATTTCCCCCAAACTGCCTATGTCTTCCTGCTTCAGTTCACCCTTATTTTAAGGACAACCTGTCTGTTTAATTTTTTTCTATACTTCTTCTATGTATCTATTATAATCTTAGTGAGTCAGCTTTTTTACCAGAAA